GCAGGCACTGCCCTGTCTTGCACCAGCTTCTCCCTGCATCCCCTGCAAACACATACTCTCAGCTACATCCCACCCATCACCAGCTCTGCCAGCTACCCAGGGCACCCTGCAATGTCACCGGCTGCTGCACACACCAGGATCCCCTGCTGCAGGTCCCTCCTCAGCTATCGCTGCTTGGGGTCAGCCTGCCATGGATCAATGCTATGATGCTGGGGGACCACAGGGATGCCTGTTGGTTACTGCCAGTCCCTCAGGTCTGGGCAGAGCACCCAGCCCAGATGAGACCCACTAGACTGCACTGGATGGGGACAAAGCCCCATGCTATCCCCAGGATGGGTCTCTGGGGACATCACCCAGGGATAGTCCGGAGCAGGGTGGCCAGTGGTCAGTGCTCACCTGGTTGCAGGCCGAGTGGGCCAAGTCCCCCAAGGCCTCCGACCCCTGTGAAGAGAACTGGGGTGAGCTGGGTGGTATGGCCAGGGCCAGAGAAGCAGAAACACCCCATTGCACCATCCCCATGGGATGAGAGGGTGCCCTGGGGACAGGCACAAGGACAGGTGACATACATGCTGCCAGCATCTGGGTCCCCCATTCCGTTCCTTTCTGCTTCACCCGCCCCCACCCCACCGGGCCATGAAGGGATGGAGCTGAAATGTTTATGGCTGAGGAACGAGTCCCTCCATCTCCGGTCTGTGGCCAGCACTGCCTTCCAACATCTGGGGCTAATCAAGCCCTCGTTCCCTCTAGGCGCAAATTCCAGTGCCTTTGGCTCGGGGCGCGGACACCGCGCGGCTGGGGCTGGGGCTGGGGCTTTGCGGCCGCCCCACGTTTGGTTTTAATTACGCTGAAATAAAGGGCCTTGTTTTTCTTTCCATGAGCTGAAATCTGAGCAAAAGGAGATTGCGGCCCCCGCCTCAGGCTGGCGCTCCCACCACATAGACGGGCCGGCGCGGGAGCTGGGGGCTTGGTGTGCCCCTGCACACCCCTGCCCAGGCAGGCACGGGACAACCGCATCTGCCTAGAAGAGCTTTGAGGGGTGAAGCGCTGGCACAGGGTGCCCAGAGAAGCTGTGGCTGCCCCATCCCTGGCAGTGTTCAAGGCCAGGTTGTACACAGGGGCTTGGAGCAACCTGCTCTAGTGGAAGGTGTCCCTGCCCGTGGCAGGGGTTGGGACTGGATGAGCTTTAAGGTCCCTTCCAACCCAAACCAGTCTGGGCTTCTATGATATTGTGATCTCTCCCTGGGCCTCGATGAGCACTGGGCATCTCCATTGGCACCAGCTTTGCCCCCTGCACATTCAGTGCCTACTGCCCCAGCACTTCCTCGCCATGCTTCAGGCTCTGTGCCCTCGGGCTGTGCATCCTCCTGTCTCCTCTCATCACTCTCCTGGTGATGCTTCCTCTCACCCCATTATTTCTAGGCAGTCAAACCCCAGCATGGGCTGCAGGAGCCTCAGCAAAAGCTGCTTGGCCACAAACAGCAGTGCTGCCAGCTTCCCACTGGCACTGGGCCCAGTACGGCTGTGCAAGTGTTACCTGGCTTCGCATCTTCCAGAGGAGCTGCGGCACAGGTTTGCAAACAGCAAGCACCCTGAAAGGGTGGTCTGGGGAGACTGGAGGGGACAAGGTAGTGTCCTGAAGCAGGGTACAAGAAGGAAGGCTCCCTTGCAACTACTGGGGCTTGGCAGGGGTCAATGTGGCAGGGCAGGGCAGAAAGTACTACATGCCTTGGCCATGGGGGTGCCCAGGGCCAGCGTGTCCCTTGGCTATGTGAAATAAACATGAGGGCAACATGGGTCAGGAAATATCTTGCCCCCTGGCACAGCTGGTGATGGCAAGAGCATCAGGGAAAGGCATCTTACCTGGTTTGAGAGGTTTTGCTCCAGCTCCGAGCCCTGGGGGAGAGTGATTGGAGAGGGATCAGAGCCATCCTTCCTCCGAGCATCCCCCAAAACAGGGATATGGTGCAGGATGGGGATGCCCTTCCCCTCACAAGCAGCTTTGCTGGGGGTCCCCATCCCAGCACACCCTGGACAAAGAGGTCCCAGTACTCACCTGCTCCTAAACCTCCAACCCCAGCACCTGCAAGCAGCAACAAACACAGTCTTAGCACCCATCCCGGTGAGCACCCACCTTTCACCCACCCACCCATGCCAGGCTACCCAGGGTGTCCATGGGGAAACAGAGAGGGTCACAAGGGTGCCAGGGGATGGGACATCCCCCCACACCCTGGACAAAGAGGTCCCAGTACTCACCTGCTCCTAAACCTCCAACCCCAGCACCTGCAAGCAGCAACAAACACAGTCTTAGCACCCATCCCGGTGAGCACCCACCTTTCACCCACCCACCCATGCCAGGCTACCCAGGGTGTCCATGGGGAAACAGAGAGGGTCACAAGGGTGCCAGGGGATGGGACATCCCCCCTCGAGTCCTGTCCCTATGCTGTGAGGCTGGCACTGATAGAGCCACCCAGGGCTGAGCAGCCAAATAGGGTGTCCCCATGTCCCCTGATCCCAGCTGGCAGTTCCCCAGCCCTCTGTACTGGCTCACAGGCACCCAGGGGCTCCCCAGGCACCTGCCCCATCCCTGCAAGCAGGGTGATGCCCTCCCCCACTGCCTGGACCCCTTTACCTGGGAAAAAGCCTCCTCCTGGGACTGCCCCTCCTGGGATAGCACCAGGGACCCCTGCAAGAGAAGAGACCCTCATTAAAATCCCCCCAGAGTCTGTCTGGTGGGGTGGGGGGGGAGCACCTCCTGGATGGGGAGATGCTCCCTGCAGATGAGGTGGGAAGCAGAGCCCCAGGGCAGGCCCCTGACTCTCCTTGTACACCTCAGTTTCCCCACTCTAACAGTGGTGACAGGGCTTGGATGTACCCCAGCCAGAAGCCGGGGATGGCATCCTGGTGGAGGTGGCAGCAGGACTTGGTCCTGCATGGGCAGGAAGGACACGGGGCTGGCGCGAAGCGGTTCTGGTTGGTGTCCAGCTCTGCTGTCCTGTACCACACCCAGCATCGTCTCCATCATCTCCAGCTCCACATGGCTCTGGGGTACCAGTCCAGCCATGTCATGGTGGGGTGGGGCTGTCCCGGTTATCCCTGCAGCCCACATTGATCCCAGCCAAGCCTGGCTGTGGCTGCCAACCCACACTGCCTGCCCTGCCTTGCCCTGCCTTGCTGCCAGTGGAAGAGCCAGCTCAGGTGCAGGACTGAGGTACTGGACTGGAGGGGACAGTGCCAAGATCCACTGAAACCACCTGCACTCCTGTGCCCACCTCTGTGAAGCTGAGCTGAGCATTTAACCAGCCAGATCCCATCACTTTCCAGGGCATGTGGAGCTCATGCTCAGATAACACTGCAGTTCTGTCTGTCTGGTTTGGACCCTGGCAAAGGGCTGTGTCCTGCAGACCACCAGGCAGCCAGTCCCTATGTGGAAATAGCAATAGTGTTCACCTTTTTGCAAAACTATAGGCAAGCTTATCCTGTATGTATCATCATAGAGTCATAGAATGTTTTGTGTTAGAAGGGACCTTAAAGCTCATCCAGTTCCAACCCCTGCCACGGGCAGGGACACTAGAGCAGGTTGCTCCAAGCCCCTGTGTCCAACCTGGCCTTGAACACTGCCAGGGATGGGGCAGCCACAGCTTCTCTGGGCACCCTGTGCCAGCGCCTCAGCACCCTCACAGGGAAGAGCTTCTGCCTCAGAGCTCATCTCAATCTCCCCTCTGGCAGGTTAAAGCCATTCCCCTTGTCCTGCCACTTCATTGTGGCTGGGGCCTGCAGGGGGGTTGGCAGCACAGGGAGGTTGCAGTGCAGGGGGATGCTCTGCTTTTGGCTGGAACATGGTTTTGGCACTGGGGCAGCTGCCGTGGGGTTTGCAGTGGCATTTGCAGTGAGGCTGGCAGGAGAATCTGGGGTTTGCCAGAGGCAAGAGCGGGGCTGCTGTGGCCAGCATCCCTGCGGCAAAACTGCACCCAGCTCTGGGCAGAGGGGATGGAGTTCAGGGTGGATGGCACTGTGGACCCTGCAGTGGCATGGCTGTGACCTGAGGACCTGCTGTCCTGCTCCAAGGCTGCAGTGGCTTCCCAAACACCCCCAGGAGCTGGGTGCATGCACCACGAACTGCACAATGCCCAGAGACAGCACAGACAGGTGTCAGGCAGAGCTGGCAGCCATGGGGAGGGGTACATTGTGCTGCATATCCCTATCTCAGATGTGGTGCAAACTCTGGTGGTCCCTCTCCCTGTGTCCATAGTCCCCTGCTTCACCCCAACAGCTGCATGCTGCAACACAGCAGGGATGAGGGTGTCCCCTGGACCCTGCTCATGTGTCCCCGACCACCCAGGGCATGCAGGACAGACCCCTCAGCCCAGCCACACAGAGAGACCGGGCACTGGGGTGCACCCACATGTGTGTCAGGATACACACGTGTGCAACAGGGATGCCAGGCTGTGCACACACAGGAGATGTCAGGACACACACCAGCAGGACACGCACCTACCAACCCATTGGGACACACATAGAAGACCTGTGCCAGGTCCTGTCACACAGACCTGTGCCCCCCCAATCCACCCCCAGGGTCCTGCTGGGGCTGGGGGACAAATCTGGCTCTGGAGCAGCTGATGACCCTTGGAATGGTGGGGACATGCACTGGGCCATTGCTCCAGCCACTCACACCTCTGGCATGGCACAGCCCAGCCTGGCTGCTAGCCAGGGGTTTACGGAGCAGCTCCTTTTCTGGCTCCCACAGCTTGGAAAAACGAATCCCAATTTCTTGCCTGTTTTCAAACAAACTCCGAGCATCCACACATCACCTGGCCTCCCCCACCTGCCCTGCTGGGAGTGAGAACCAGCGGGATCCAGCCAAGATTCATCTGAGGACCCCCATGCCTGGGGCCAGTGACCGCCCCCACCAAGCAGGGGGGGGCTTGAGGTGCTCAGCCCCCAGGGTGATCCCCAGCCACAGACCCCGTGGCCAAGGCAAGGTCCCTGGTGCTGGGTGATGCCAGGCACCTGGGGACCTGGGCTGAGCTCTCCTACCCCTGGGGAAGCTGGGACAAGGCAGGATGGCTCACAGCCTTCCTGGGATGCTTGGACACCTATGCCCTCAGCCATGCTGCTATACTCAGCCCCTCAGCATTGTCACCCTCCTGCGGTCCCTGAAAGTGGGGTCCTGCTTTCCCAGGCACTATCCCATGGCCAAGGCACTGTGCTCATCCCAGTGCCTCACAGCAGGTCTGCCTTCTGGAGGATTGCAGGGGATGTGCGAGTTTATCAACCATCTCCATGCCCAGATCAGGAGGTGGAGGACGTCAGCAAGTCCTGGCAGGAGCCTCTATGGCTGGGGGCAGCAGAATGGCAGGAATAGGGGTGCCATGATATTTTGGGGAGCCAAGGCTTTCATTCAGGAGCATTGCAGGAGGCTGCTCTCCCCTGGCTGCTCTCTCTGGCCACTCTGGCGCCAAACATAGGCTGCTCCGCACTTCTCTTGGAGCTCTTTTCTGAACTGCCTTGGTGCTGGCAGAGCTGGTCTCATCCCAGTGGGAAGGCAGTGCCCATAGCCCAGCCTGGGGTATGCTCCCTGGCATAGCATGCCCCTCTTTGATCTCTCTATCCTGCATTCCCCTGGCACATTGGGAAGAGCAAACTGAGTCACCAGCCCTCCAGTACTGGGGGAGCTCTGTGCTGCCTCTGCCCCTGGCGCCAGCCTGCTGGGACTCCAGGAAGGGGAGTTTCTCCTATCTTGCAGCTTGTCTCCTGAGCCGAGGCTGGTTGTAAGGCTGCAGAGCACTGGGCTGGCCCCAGCACCCCAGCACCCACTCCACAGATATCTTTTCAAGCCAGGGGCAGGAAAATTACTGTTCTATTACCTGTGCTATTTCAGATTGACCACTGTTAGTGTCATCTGCACCATTTCTACCTGCACCACTGGTTACAGCTTTCTTTACAAGCCAGAAGATGTTTTCTCTATTCTACAGCTCTCATGACCAAGTCCAGGCTGGAGCATCCACTGCAGGCTGACACCCTCTCTGCGCAGCCAAACCTTGTACCTTGCCACCCTCCCCGTGCCTGTGAACTCCTGAGGCAGGCTCAGCACATAACTGACGCTGATATTTCATAGAATTTCCATGGCATTTCCCCTCTTCCTTCACACCACTGCTTGCTTTTTCTTTGGAGAATGGGTTTTGGAGACATGCAGTGTCCAAGCAATGTTGAAGCTGCACTAAGTCCTGGACCCAGCTCCCTGGTAGCAGTGCAGGGGGAGCAGGGAGGCTGCTGCCAACAGCCCAGCTCCGCTCCAGCCCCCCGAGGCTCCAGCTTTCATCTCAGAGCGCTGGCAGACAAGCTGCACCCTGCAAGGTGTTTGCAGAGGGAGCAGCCCCAGCAGGATGGTGCCTCTGGGAGATGCCTGGCTGGGAAGGGGAAATGCCGCCCCAGTCCCACAACTGGCCCTGGGGCACCCTGGGGACTTTGGGTGTCCTAGGGAGTCCCGATGGTACCCAGGCTGGGATGCCAGTACCCTGGCACCTAGCCAAACTACCCGCTGTGGTCCCAGAGAACTGCAGGGCTGGGAGTTCCCTGCGGGTCCCTTTTGTCCCTGTGCTCCACCATGGGAAGCACTAAGGGATGGATGGACGGATGGACAGACGGATGGACGGATGGATGGACGGACGGATGGATGGATGGATGGACGTATGGATGGACGAACGATTGGATGAATGGATGGATGGATGGATGGATGGGTGGGTGGGTGGGTGGATGGATGGCAGATACTCCACTCAAAATGCTGGGCCATGCTGCACTTGGCAACTTTAGGGAAACATACAGCAGGTTCCCCACACGATCCAGCCATGCACCTCCCCACAGTGCCCAGTACAACTCTGCTCTCAGGGGTGCAGAGCAGCAGGGGATGATTCTGACCTGCTGCTGGGAGTTTCCCAAGTACCACTATCTGCTGCAAGCCCCTCATCACTGCTTTGTGTGTGGAGGGGGGTCCCCCTTTTCCCCTTGATCCTGAGATCTCTCAAGAGTCCCTCTCCTGCCAGGCTGGTTTGGTGCCACACTGGCAGTGGGTGCTGGAGGATGCTGCTGGTTGGTAGCGCCCCCACACCATGTCACTGGCTGTGCCTCTGTCCCAGCACAGTCCCCAAGGGTTGGCAGGGCAAAGGGTATGGCTGAGCCTGCCCAGTGCCACACAGCACACAAGGCTGCAGAAACACTGCTCACTCCTCCATGGGGAAGCATCCTTTGGTGTCCCCATCAGCACTGCGTCAGCACTACCTCCTCTATAAGCTGCTTCCCAAATTGGCAGACACCTCTGGAGATTGAGCCAGGGTCAACAGTCAAACTGTCACAGTAACTGCTGCAGTCAGAAACTGCTGCAGGATCTCACCAGGGGACCAACGTCCTCCAGACACTGTCCCAGCTGGCCACTGCTTGAGACCTGGGGTGCAAAGCCACTGTGGTTCAGCAAGCTGGCATGGAGCATCACTGTTGGTTTTGGAGAGTGCCCAGGACCGAGCTGCATCCCATCAAGCACCTTGACCCTGAGCTGCAGTTACCCAGGATCAGGCACCGACTGTGGCTCAGCTTTACAGGTGCTGCCTGGCTGGGCACCCCTCTGAGCTCACGCTCCCTGCACAGTCAGAGGCAGACCAGCCCGTGGCTGGAGTCCGCCACCAAAGAAGG